CGGATATCCCACAGCTGACATTGCTCCAAATGTCGGCTCTCAGAGTCAGTCTACATGCTACAATATTGTGCCCGATCTCCATAAATGAAACGATTACTGAACCAATTAATTTATTATTTTTTCCTCTTTGTCATTTGTTTCTCTCAGACGATTGGTCAGTTGAATGCATTTATGTATCATGCAACTCAGATACTCTTGTCAAGTATCCATTGCATTTGACCCACTGAAGAGTGGCGAGAGAGAGAGAGAGAGAGAAATAGGAAGTGTAACGCAAGAGTAGGTGAAAAGAAAAAATTGTGGGAGTAGTGAAAGACAATTTACTGCGGAGGGGAGAAGGTAAAATCTTCTCCAGAAATTTTCCAGGCTTAGTCCGCTCGTCTTTCTGATAACAATAATATGAAATCGAAGACGTTAGAATGGTTAGAAATAGTAGCTTGAGACAGGGGCCGGAGAAATTTGACGAATTTTTTAACATTGTCACTTGTATGAGTGACTATAGGCGGGGTTTGGATTGGTAATTGGATTTATTGAACACTTACAGATCGTAACTAGAAGTAAGTATAGCGCTATCAGTAATTCACACACTCTGCAGTTCACTACAGCCAGTACTGATCTCCTCAGTCTGCTATGTCTCCACCAGTGTTACCTGGTGACGGCTCTCAACAATGTACTCTGCTTCTGTGCTCCCTTTCTTACCGGCTGGCGACTGTCCCACAACTAACTCATTGCTCCATCTGTCGACTTTCACCTAACTCCCAGGCTGGCGGCCGTCTCACACCAACTCTTACTCTTCTCACTGCAATCTTAAGACTTTCTTCTGAACTCAAAGTCAAAGTTACTTTACGCCTGGCGGTTTGCTGCCAATAAGTTCGTCTTGGCGCCAGGTCCCTTGAGGCCCATGACCATAGATTGTTTTTCCAACTGAACTCTTGCGGTAATAGTCCTTGTGTAACATCCTCTCTGACGAGAAGATGGGTTTGTCTCTTATGGATATGCTTGGCTTTTCGTCGAGTGTACGTATCGCGCATATAGCGTGTTATTGAAAATTCTTCCTTTCGAACTACACACAAGTCTTCTGTCAGTGCAAGCTTTACAGAGCAGCTCATGCCTAATTTACATGTCTTATGCTACAACGGCAGCTTAGTCACTTGAAAGCCCATAAGCTTGACCACCGCGCAATGGCAATATCGTAACAAATGAGATTTATCCGAGCGCGAGTGCAGCTGGCCCTCCTTATATAGTCTCGGCACGGATCACATAGAGAATACTGCTTCCAGCAGCCCTTCTATTATTGCATACGGGTCTCTTGAGGCCACTACTTAGCACCGAGCGTTATTTACAGCATCATTACTTAGCAACTACCATTGTATAGCTACTTATTTCGCGGTCATTGCCTAGTAACGGGTCTACTTGTACATGCCAGTTCTTGCGTCAGAGGGTTAAAGCTTCAAACCGTCATTATGAACAAGAAATAAGTTAAAGAGCTGTCTACTTTAGCTACACGTTCCGCTGATGAAGGCCGAACGCTATCGTAAGAACTCAAATCCCTTCACAACATTATCAGATTATTATCTTTAATCTTCTGTGTTTGTACGTCCATGAAAGTGTTGGCCTTGATAAGCTTACATCACTTTTAATCAGTTTTAGATCTACAGTGATGCTAATACGAAAACAAAGCTATCGAAACGCGTGGGGGATTGGACGCAGTGCATGAAGCACAATCGCTGGGTTCCTGAAGAGTCCAGTGTTGAGGTTCACTGCCCTATCTGTCTTATGTGCAGTAGGAATCCAGGAAAGTCTGTCAAACTGTGAAAAATTTGGTTGACTGTAAGTCAAGGTTCCTTCAGACTCTCCAATTATCCAAAAAGTTATCAGATGTTTAAACTCTTGCCTCTGATATATGTTGTAATTCACGTATACAATTCAAATCATTATTTCTGGGGGGAAAGAAGGAAGGCTTTATCATATCAGTACAACATTTGTATTTCAGCAGGAAATGACGTGTATTACACTTCTTGTACTAACATCTGAATGTTAATTTGAACTGAAGTTCTGGAAACTCTGTCATATTCTAGAACGCTTATCTGTCTTTAAAAAATCTTGAGAAACATAGTTAATATGAACTGTTATAAAATTTTATCTCATATGAAGTGCCTTGCCTTTATATCTGTAATTGATTATAAACATTGCATTAATATAGCAATGGGGGCACTATACTACATGCCGGAAAGTGGCGGGTTCAATTCCCGATGAAGTAATTGAATTTTTCAATTAACCTAATCTTTCCAGCCGTACTATGGCCTTGAGGTCGACTCAGCCTATAACAGAAATGAGTACTAGAAATCATCAAGGGGTAAAGGGCAGCCGGCGCGTAAGGCTGATAGCTTTACTTCAATCTTGAGCCGACTGTCTAGAAAATGTGGAAGCCTCGACGTCTCACGACCCTATGAGCCTCCACGGCCTGTTACAGGGATAGCTTTATCTATTTCATTAATAAAACAATTTGACATTGAGAAAGTAGTGATGTCAGCAATATCATTGAGGACGTCCTTCACTGATTCATCATTCATCGACCGTCTTACCATTAAACGTTGCAGAGTCTAGATACAGACAGCTTCGTTAAATGACACACAGAAATGAAACAAATTTGGTAACGCGGATAATTAAATGAGAGGTACCCAAAACGGCGCTGGAACCCGTACCCAGCGATGACCATGGCGCATTGAAGCGCCCGTAAGCGACAGCCGACTTGGGATCACGCCCCGAGGGGCGCGCGGGTGCCGCTCGCACCACTTCACTGGCTATTTCACTAATAGGCGTCCTTTACAACTTAAGAAGAACGCCTCATGTGAAGGACACGCCTGTCTGCCCGTGACCTAGCATCACAGCCTAAAGATCTGGACAGGTTTTCTTAGAATTCAGTACGGGAGAACTTCACCGGAAGTTAATTGTCATGGCCGATTTTCAGCCATATTGATCCGGAACAGAGCCTGGTTTACATGAGACAATAAATGGAATTTTCCATGTACCCCATAAACCTTATCACTGATTTTGTCGAAATTTTACGCGGGATGCTTTCAGTAATTTGCATTTTATTATTTCAAATTTTTAAGCAAGCTTAATAAACTGTAAAATACGCCGTTCATGAATCTGTGCACTGGATTATGGGGTACAAGCTACTGAATCTCGCAAAGCCCAAATTCAGATTCAAATTCTAACATCTGGCTCCTAAACTTGGATCTCCTATCCAACATCACGATGCTTGTGCTGTCATTTTATTGACAGAACCTGTCGACGCACTTGCGAGTTTTGAGCCACAAATTTAAAATTCGGTGTCACTGCGCATCCGGTGCGTGACATGCCTAAGCACGCCACTAGTACGTTCAGTACCTTCAGTACCAATGGCCTTGGGTCATTCATCAACACAGTTCCCGTTGTGACGGGATTACGTACAGCATTCTTTGCATACGGACGGACGCGGGTTACAGTAACCCGAGTATCTTACTGAGTAAGATAACATAAAGTTGTCCCTGTTCTTAATTAATTAAAAACAGACTGTAGGACTCCTTGAACGAGCGATCATCCCGTCACAACGCCGCTACCTACGCATAGGACAACACAAACACAGAATAAACCCACACACAAACATCCATGCATTGAGTGAGATTCGAACCCACGATCGCAGCGTTCGAGCGAGCTAAGACAGTTCATGCCTTAGACTGCGCGCCAGTGTGGAGGTATAGCTCCAATAATCTTGATCTCGGCAGTAGAGGGAGGTGAGTGATGAGGAAAGAACTCCCGGTACCCACTGGGGCTGGGTGGGCGCCACAGCCCCCAGAGCCGGCCTGGAAGCTGTGGAGTTCGCGCACGAAACCTGAACCTGTGGCCACTCACATACGTTAAGGCTTGCTTGCTATTGTCACGAGTAATTGTCGTGCACAGGAACAGAGCATTGTCTCTTTCAGTCTCCTTTTCTCAGTAATGGTTTTCATCTGCTCACTTTTTGTGCACCTACTCTATTGCGCATGAGCGGGGATAGTTGTCAGTATGACTGGTTGTGGACTACATGACCGGGCTTCGATTCTTGGCGAGGAAATGATTTCTTTTTGGCTTTGGAAAATAATTGATCTTTATAATGAGAATTTTGTGAAACACATAAATACATTCTGTGGGCAAAATAAAGTTCTTCATAATTCTTTACTTAGTACTGTGTTTGATAAATCATTTAATTCGTCTGTAACATGTTTTAATTGTGTTCGAATTACCTAAATATCTTTAAAAAGTTGTGTAACTATTCGCAGAATTGTTGCCGAAACCTTGTTATTGTGAGCTGTTGTTCAAAATCCGGGTCCATTTGTTTTCTAGATGTTTGTGTAACTATTCGCAGAAGTGTTGCCGAAACCTTGTTATTGTGAGCTGTTGTTCAAAATCCGGGTCCATTTGTTTTCTAGATGTGTCGCCCTGCCCAACTCCTGCTAGGCCGCAGTCTGTGATTTGCCAGAAGGAGAAGTGTTCCACATCCTCAGACTGTCGGAAGGGACAATCATGTTGCCGCAGAGGACCTTGTGGACCTATCTGCGTAACACCTTCGAGACCGAAGACCCGTGCTCTGTCTTTTGTCCTCCTGCGACGCTGATCACATGTTCTGCTGCTTTCGATTTCTGAAAAGTTTTAGTTAACTGCCCAACATTATTGTAACAAGTAGTGTAAGACTACCCAATTTTGTAACGTAATATATTTCTTGGTACAGCAACCTCAGTTTGTCACAACATTAGGTATGGGTTCCATAGGCACGTTTAACATGTCTCTATAGATGGTTAAATAACATGTTCCGTAGTTCGTTTCAACAGTTCTCCATAGATGGCCCCATAATGTATCGTTGTTAGTTTTGATAGATTTCCATAGATGACACCGTAATGTGTTCCACTGTTGGTTTTAACGTTCTCCATAGATGTCCCCTTAACGCGTTCTATTAGATTTAATAGGTTCCCTATAAAATAGTCGCTTCGGCGGCACATGTACTAAAATTGGAAAGATACAGAGAAGATTAGCATGGCTCCTGCGCAAGGATGACACGAAAAATCATGAAGCGTTATAGTTTTAATAGTCCTCCACAGATAGTTCCATAATGTGGTCCACTATTAGTTTTAACAGTTTTCCATCATTAAAGGTAATACCGCCCTTTCTCTTAACTCAGTAACACGCCGTTTAAGACATGCGATAGAGCGCAGGTATAACTCGTATTCTTAACCTCGGCAATACGTGAAGAATGATGAGCGTCATGTCCGAGCCACTTTACCCCGCTGGATAAGAGATTGGGTGAGCCTCAGAACCGGCCTCGGAGAACAGAAAAATCTCTGGTCTCTGGCGAATATCAAACTCCGATTCCTCGGTTTGCCAGGTCGCAACCCGATCGCTATACTGACAATACTGACTGAGCTACGATAACTCCATGTGAAATACGGCTTGTATTAATAGTTCTCCATAGATGGCTCCATAATACAGTATGTTCCGTTCAAACCTCCCACATTTTAATTAATCAATGTGAACAAATTGTGATAAATTATGGATAATAATTAACACTAGATGAAAGAAAAACTCAGAGAATTTTATTTCCGTTTTTCTTCGGTGAAGCTACAGTATCTGGCCGCGTATACCTTGACATGTTAGAACAGTTCCTGTATCCCCAGGCAGCCGATCTGCAGCCTAACATAATCTTCCAACAAGATGGAGCCCCGCCCCCCAAATTGGGGTCTGGATATTCGGAGGTCTCTCAATGCCACCTTCCAAGATCGCTGGATTGGACGTGGCGGACCAATTCGGTGGCCACCACGTTCACCGGACCACACTCCGCTCGATTTCTTCCTTTGAGGTTACGTGAAGGACCGTGTGTTCGTGCCTCCAGTGAATGACCTCCCAGATTGACGAGCCCGCATCCGTGAAACGATTGCTACTATACCGATGGACATGTTGGAAAGAACGTGGCAAGAAACTGAATACAGATTGGATGTTGTTCGTGCTACCAATGGTGCACATGTAGAGGTTTATTAGTGTGTTAAATAAAATTTTTTGGGTTGTTCTTATATTTCCTATAGCTTCATTTTCCTACCTTTCATAATTTCTCTTCTAAGATCTGATAAAATATGGGAGGTTTGAATGGAACATTCTATATTCTACAATTTGCTTTAATGCATACCTCAGTATGTGACGGGTTCACAGTTTTATACTACAAAATAAGGTACGTCAAAATATTTGGCGAGCTTACCTTAACTAATTTTGTTTAGAATTGCAGAATTTATACTAAAATAGCGTGCAACAAAAACACAGAAATGCATCTGAACACAAATAGGAACTCATTCTCGGATTTATTATATTTCTGAGTAACAGACAAACGTTTCTTGATGAAGATCCTGTTTCGCCCTTCCACACACATAGAAAGGAGCTCTTTATGAGGTTTTCACAGCAGTGACAATGAAGAATGCTGTCTTCTGGAAAGTGATGTCGTATAATCTGGTTATTAAAGTTTACTGATATTTCGGAGCTACGTACTGCCTCCATCATCAGTGACGAAGATTAAGCCCAGCAAGCTAGAAAGCAGGCAGCTAGCGCCAAATATGCTCCTCGTTTGTTTTACTACGTTGAAGATTGACGCTCAACATATTCCCCCGAAACCTTGGTAAATTTCTAGCTGACTGCGTGACGTAATATCCTAACTTCATATTCAGTACGTTGAAGGCGTTTCAGTTAAATATATACGTGATGAACACTCCCTGAACTCAAATTCACAAGTGGAACCCGCTGTTATGAACTATATTAGATCGGCATTAGAATACATGCCCAGTCCGTCTCGGGGGTTGCGTATAGAGACACGGCGCTTATCAAGGCCAAGACCTTTTGGGAAATTGGGGGTCAGGGGAACCGCGATCAATGTTAATAGCCATCCGAGTCATGGGCACTGGGACGAGGGGGCGCCGTCAAGCAAGGCATTGCCCCCTGCACATTGAATTTTTAAAGAAAAATCAGAAAGGCAGAATAGAAGGAAATATACCAAATATTAGTAAAAAGCATCAAAATTATTTTAACAATCAACAATCAAGTTCCTTCCGTCAAATGTGACACTTTTTTAAGTTTTCCACCTCGTCACCACCTGCCTTACATGTTTCGGCTCACCACGGAGCCATCATCAGAGGCATTTCTTATTATTTTCTTCATATTGTATTCTTCTACCGAGAATACATATACTTTTTATCCTCCTTAATAACACGGCTTAAATATAAATTTGCAAGCAAATTTCCTGCCGCTCCTCCCCGTGGAATGAACATTCGCCGCCCCAGCAGTGCAGAGTCTCTCAGTAAACACAGACGTCACGTAGACCTGTTTACACTGGTCATAAATTATGAAACCGTGGCACAATAAAATGCACCCGAACAGTTATTCCGAAACTACGAACGTGGTTTCGGATGCCACTATAATCGTGCCCCCGGCAGATGCATATCTGTTGTTGCGGAAGCCCCCAATTGTGTTCGTCTATGGAAAACCCTTCAGACAGGCCTACATGAAGCCCCATACCGATTTTCTCTCATATTTCTTTTTTCTTTCGTCGTACTATCCTGAGAATACGTGTTTCCGCACCGACGTTCGCAACAGATCCCATCCCCCCAAATTGTTATTCCTTCAGACCTCAGTACGTGGCTTCAATCCACCTCTTTGAAAAATATGAGACAAATCTCCTGTTCATTGTTCCTCCTAACCCCATTCAGCCTCCGAACTCCTATTCCTTTCCTATCTAATCCTAAGCTTACGAGTATTTCTGTACGCATTTCCTTCTTCCAGTTGCACCGTGAACTACGTGTATTTACACAACTTCCATTTCTCTCTCGTAACTTTTTCAGGTTTCCTTCCAGTTCCAACACATCCTTCACTTATTCTCATTCAGATGTTTCTTGTGGTTATGTCTTCCAGTCTCTTAATATCCCCCCTGCTCAACATTTGCATTTCTTGTGTAATTCTGCTCATTCGGTTGTTTACCACCTCCGTATTTTGCTGACCTAGTGCGTCCCCTAATGGATTTTTTTAAACTGTTTTTATAGTCTTGACCATTATTTGATTATTCTATCTAATATTTCACCCTTCCTATACGTCCTACCCGGCTCCTTCACTCGAGCGCCATTTTCTTCCGCCTGCGTGAAACCGCAGGTGGGCAGGTATTCTTGTGTATAACATTTAGGTTAAGTTCTTCTTCGCAGAGCGGGAGCACGCGGTAGTGTAGTTGGTTGAGGTACTATTCTACAAGTCGGACGGCCGCGGGTTCGAGTTCCGATGAGGTCTTTGGATTTTTCAGCCGCACTATGGCCCTGGGGTCGACTTAGTCTCTAACAGAAATGAATACCAGAAATCTTCCTGGGGGCAAAGGGCGACGGCGCGTACGGCTGACAAACTCACCGCCATCTGTGAGCCGATTTTCTAGAAAATATGGGAGCCTCGATGCCTCACATACCCTTTTACATTCTGCTTATTCTTCTTCGAGGAAATTATGAGCATCCATATATGGACATAGTATTGAGAGTGTAAACTGAATTGAAGTGGTCCCTGATGGACGCATGGTCCGTTCCACGTTTCAAGACTCTGTACGTTGTGCGGAGAATCATTACGTCAGAAGGGTTCAACGTTACGAAGGTCTGCAAGACTTCGTTCACTCTATGCCCAGTGCGCCGCTGTCGAGCTGAGTGCCTCGTGAGAACGGAGAAACAGAGGAAGAAAATGACATCACGAGTGTAGTCCTAAGAGCAAAACATCCTCATGTACTTCCACACGCAGTTTAAGATTAAAAGAAACGGGTATGAATCATGATAAGCCATTCTCGTTACGTAACAGTAGCTCTACACGTTTAAATGCAAAATTCAACGCTGAATATATCATGATACGTACACCCTTAAAGAAGCTAATGCATGAGTTGGAAACTAAACACGTTATACGCCATCTACACCCCACCTATACCTCACACCATGTACTGTGGGAATAAGAACAAGTTAATTACACAGATGTGTCTTCATGCTGCTTCCAAACACAGAGTGATTCTAAATTACTGTCGGGGTTACCGTGGTATATAATTTTCAAACCGGAAACAACAAAATAAAACTGCTTACGGAATAATAAAGACGTCAATGTGGCGAGTAACGCATTGGCAAATGAAACGTTTAGAGTTACACTTTCATATTCCATCAGCAGTTTTATTCTGTTGTTTTCATTTTGAAAATTATAGGTCACAGAAACGCCGACAATAATTTAGAATCACATTGTATGTCCAGAGTTCGTATTCCGGTGTGAAATTCACAAATAATTATGCACGATTTGTCTTCCGTTAGGTTGCTTAAACGAGGTAGGACGTATCCATTTTCCTTAGAGTGAATGGACTTTACCAGTGTCTATATTTTCACTGCATGTAGAACCTTTAGCAATAATGTATTTTCCTGAGAAAAAAAGAAATTTTAAGTGAAATAGTCCATTTTAAAGAAAATAATAATAAGTGAATTAAGATCATAATTGGCCGTGCCACAGCTCAGGCGGTTAGTCGCCGGCTTCCTACCGCGGCGGCCCGGGTTCGAGCCTAGGTGGACAAAGTAGCGCTGGGGCAGGTTTTCTCCGAGTATTTCGGTTTCCCCTGCCGATTCTTATTCCATTCCTGCTCCACATTCATCATTCATCCCATCATCGACGCTATAGTCTCCATACATCGTCGTTAAATAACCAACTTCCACTTCAAGCAGTTTCCGATTAACACTTTAAGTTAATCATGATACGTGAGGTTTGAGGTTCTCAAGGCTATAGTCTTGGATATGACACTGTGTAGTCTGATATATATACACCGGTGTTTCAGAAGAAACTACTATTCCGATACGTCGATACGGTATCTATCTACCAATATGTATGGTGTCACAACCAATGAGACGGTGACTTCTGCGCGCGGCTATCCCAGCTCTATGCCGCTCATCAGTCTCTGCCCACATCCTACCCATTGTGTCCTTAACGGAAGTGTGTGTCGCGCTACGTTCCTCCTGTCAAAACGGTACGGGTGACGTAACAACACGCACGCAGACAAGCTGT